TCGAGCCATGACGTCATTAGCACTGGCCAGTATACTGGTATATATTACGGAACAGATACAGTAAAAATCCCACACACAATGGAAACACTGATCCAGAGGCGTTGTTTCCTTTAAAATCTGTCTCATAAATGCTATGTGTATATTTGCAGTAGCGACAGATCTAGGACGAAGATTCTTTTGCCCTGTCATTGAAACACATGTAAAATATTTGCTATATGTATTTGAATAAATATTTACAAAGTTTACTAGAAAAAAATCCACGCGGACCAGGCAGCGGACGGGACTCGAACCCGCATCCTTCGCTATCCGGGCGAATGCACTGACCATTATGCTACCACGGCCCTATTAGCCGCGTCGAAATTTTCCTAGCTTTAAGCTGCAAGGCAGCGCCATCTCTTCGCATTGTAGGTAATCCACAATGTCAAATGAATACTTTTTCAAGTATTAAAAATTTGAAAGAAGAAATAGCAATTATAGTTATGATTTTATTTATTTTTTAAGCATTTAACTGCTAGATGTTTAAATATAAAGAAAAGTTTACTAGAAAAAAAAAAAGCACCTTAAAGCTAGGAAAATTTCGACGCGGCTAATAGGGCCGTGGTAGCATAATGGTCAGTGCATCCGCCCGGATAGCGAAGGATGCGGGTTCGAGTCCCGTCCGCTGCCTGGTCCGCGTGGATTTTTTTCGAGTAAACTTTTCTTTAGATTTAAACATCTAGCAGTTAAATGCTTAAAAAATAAATAAAATCATAAATATTTACAAGTTTCGGGAATCAGCAGTAAATTTTGTGATTGGCGGGTGACTTCTTTCATAATGTTTTCTATGACGGAAGCTTAGATCGGACGTTGCATGGCGAAGCTAGTACATTTCAGAAGGAAATGTCCGAGACCTACAATTAATTTTAACTTTATTGACAGATGTTAGACTCAGACTTTGCCATTGTTCTATAGGTTAAAACTAGCTTTAACCTATAGAAAAATGTCAAAGCGTCAATGTCAGTTTCACACCATTGTATAGGCTAAGTCTAGTTTTAATTAAATTGAGATTTAGCAAAATTACTGCAAGTTATAGATATTTTCATAGATATAAAATTCTCATAGATGGAGCGTCATTGCTAATCACACGGTAAAAAAAAACTGGATCCAATAACGCTTCTAAATTAAAAATGTCTTAACCTGTTACAAACTGGATACCCGGGCTCCAGTAACGCTACTAAATTAAAGATGTCTTAACGTTTTACAAATCTGGATACCTGGGGATCAATTGCCTAACCGAATTGCTTTGGCTATCGCTATCGCTTACGATTTCATTTTGTTATTTCTGTCTGACCCCCCAAGGTTTTTAAATACCTTACGCCCATTTTCTTGGATATTGTTATTACCCATGCAAAAGAAAAAAAACGAGCGCGAGGCATTTCAAAACCTTGATCGGTCAGAAATAAGAAAATTAAATCGTAAGCGATAGCGATAGCAATCTCCTTAGGCGATTACCACCCCGGTCTCTAATAACGCTAGTAAATTAAAGATGACTTAACGTGCGACAAAACTAGCTATCCGGGCTCGAATAACGCTACAAAATTAAAGATGTCTTAACGTGTCAAAAATCTGGATACCCGGGTTTCAGTAACGCTACTAAATTAAATATGCGTTAATCTATGATTATGCTGTCCAGTGACAATTAGGCGCTTTGCAGACGACGGGGCGGGGCGGGCCGGTCAATTTCGCCGCGAACAAAGCACATAGCACAAAGTGGATCCTATATTACAAACGCACACAGAGAGGCAAAAAGACAGCGCCTTGGGTGCCCGGCGGGCACTGGCGGCGCGGCATGTCCGCGGCTGCCCGCCGTGGATCATACAAACCAGTTTATATGCAGTAACGCAGACGGCGGCGCGGGGGGGTCAGCTCAGTCCGCGCCACGCGCTTATTAGTGATGGACTATTCACTAGAACGAACGTCCTGAACTGACCGCCTCTGCCCGTCGTGTGCTTTGTGTACGCGGCGAGGGCAGCCGCAGACATCGACGGGCAGACGCGGCTTTTATTGCTTCGAGGACAAAATGCCCGCCCCGCCCCGTCATCTGCAAAACGCCTTATCATTTCCAATTTGTTGTTATGATAAATTGAATCAATAAGCTGGTGATTGATACTTGCTTCTGATCATTTTAATAACATATTTACGTTGTGATTAATGTGAGTAACGTTGATTACGTGACGGGAAAGCAGTGTAATATCGTATTAAAGTGTTAGCTATATAAATCTTACATGGGAAGAGAAGAAAATCTGCTTTCAAAGGTAAGATTGTACATATTGTATTTATTTGGTCATTTTCGATATTAAACAGATGTTTGTTACTAAAATGCGTTTAGTTTCAATACAAAAGTAATGCATAAGTGTTATTGTCGTTGCATAAATGAATTTCATTAACCTTTGTTCATTTTCAAATTTTATAGTGTTGCCAAAAATGGGTTGACAAAAGTCGATACTTTTCATCTTCTAGCAGTTACATGCTTTAAAAACATAAAAAAAAAAAAATATTTACATAATTCCAACAAAACAGAAAAGTAATATCGATATATTACTTTTCTGTTTTGTTGGAATTATGTAATTTTTTTTTTTTTTTTTATGTTTTTAAAGCATGTAACTGCTAGATGTTTAAATCTAAAGAAAAGTTTTACTAGAAAAAAATCCACGCGGACCAGTCAGCGGACGAGACTCGAACCCGCACCCTTCGCAATCCGGGCGAATGCACTGACCAATTATGCTACCACGGCCCTGATTTTTCTTTAGATTTAAATATCTAGCAGTTAAATAATTAAAAAAATAAAAACATAACTATAATTGCTATTTCTTCTTTCAAATGTTTAATACTTGAAAAAATATTCATTTGGCATTGTGGGTTACCATGCGAACAATGCGAAGAGGTGGCGCTGCCTTGCAGCTTAAGGCTAGGAAAATTTCGACGCGGCCATCAGGGCCTTGGTAGCATAATTGGTCAGTGCATTCGCCCGGATTGCGAAAGGTGCGGGTTCGAGTCCCGTCCACTGCCTGGTCCGCGTGGTTTTTTTTCTAGTAAAACTTTTCTTTAAATGTTTTTTTCCCCAATGATAAAATTATTATTAAGGGAAAATACACGGGAAGGTACACGTTCCATTCAAAATTAAAACCAAGAACCAATTCTGTAGGTGTATATGAATAATTCATTAATTCAACACAGCAGTGCCTTGATGCTGATTTTTTACCGTCATTAGGATCGCGCATCACTAACCTTCAATCGATAATGTTGTTAAGTGTGGATTACAATTCATTAAAATAATTATGATTTTTCTTTTCAGTGTATGTATTCCTGTACGTGGAACTACAGTCACTTTGGAGCCAGGGGGGGGGGGGGGGTCCGATACTTCTATAATAATTAAACTTTCCAAAAATAGCCGACGAACAAAATGCCGTTTGTTAAATTCTCAACAACATGTACTTATTTGAAATAAATAAACCCAATCTTATGTTTTATTTCCTTAGTGTATGTTTACTGAAATAATAAGAAAAAGCTCATAATACACAGAATTGATATTTAATAAGTAGGATCGTACAAGACTCCAAAATAGCGCTGAAAAAGTGTCGCAAATTTAGGGTAAAGCAAATCGCGATTATAAGTTGCGAGTCGCATAAGTTCAGTCCCAAAAATTCATTTTATTCAGTTGTTATTCAACTTTCATAGCGGATGCTTGTGTGGTGCAATCAACGATATTTAAAACCGTGACTGAAGTTATGCCCATAGGGTGCATTGGACGAACCATGGAGCTCCATAAGGTGATCGCGTAGTTAAAAACAATATATGGAATTATTTAAACATTCAAAGTCACCTTAAATGTATAGTGTATAAGGTCTTGATTTAAACGCATGCGTTAAAGAGTTACGACAGTTGGAGATGCAAGCTCGTAAAATTTTACGACTTGTTTGCTATAGGCGGTAGAATATACACTTTATTTATTTGACTATATTCGTAATTTTGAATGCGCTGTTGGCAATATAGCAGGTACGGAGCACGAGGAAAAGATACGGCTATATTACCGACCTTGCATTTGAATATCGCAAATTTCTCTTAAATCAGTTTTTAATAAATATTAGAACAAAATTTGCTTCAAATGCGTTAAATTAATAAACACTGATTAGATACCTGTCGAAAAAACGACCCATCTAGCCTTTCGGTCCACACGTGATTGTGAACCAAAAATTGCTTGAGTTGTGTTCAAGCACTTCCTGATCGGTACACATTTTGTGCGCAACTGGTGTATCTAGACCAAACAGTTTTATATCGGCGTTTGCACCCGACGAACCGTTGAAAAATTTGTTTATTGACGAAGCATATTTAGAAGACACAAAAGATGACCCAAGAGAAGCTGGGTAAATCCACGCTTGGAGAGTTCCATACCTTAAATGAACGTTTATTTGTAAGGCCCTTCTGACCTTCCTGTGTTCTGTGGTCTGTTACTTGGATCGCTGATGCTCCATCTATGAGAATCATTAACCTGAGGATTTATTTTAAATATTCACCAGAAAATTTTAAAACCTTGACATATACTCTATTATGTTTGTGAGAAACATAATAGAGGATATGTGTAATAAAATTTATTTGCATCATTGCTACTCCCGTATTCTATTTTTCTTTCTCACCCAATGAAACAGTGTTTCTCACCCAATGAAACAGTATTTCTCGCCCAATGCAACAGTGTTTCTCCCTCAATGCAACAGTGTTTTCTCGCCCAATGAAATAGTGTTTTCTCGCCCAATGAAACAGTGTTTCTCGCCCAATGCAACATTGTTTCTCACCCAATGAAACAGGGTTTCTCGCCCAATGAAACAGTGTTTCTCACTTAATGAAACAGTGTTTCTCACCCAATGCAACAGTCTTTATTACCCAACGCCACTTTTATAACCTAACCTCTTTAACCTACACTAATAATAGTAATAATATAAATATAATTTTGTTTTCCTTCACAGCACCTAAGGAAAGTATCCAAATTCATAACGACACAGAACGAGCGCATATACAACCCCCGAGGCATTCACATTACCGACCCTATTCTTAGGGGGTTAAGAGTCATCGAAATTACCGTAATAGACGTGCCCAACTGCCAGAGTCCGACTGGAAACTCAAATAGCACCATGAGGCACACCTGACCACCCCATGATAGCAGGGAGTTCTTCATGTAACAAACACGATATTGGTTTTAGAAACCATACAGATACAAGCGGTGATAATCATCCAAAACAAACTAATAGTGCAGTGTTGAAAGACTAGTTAGTGCTTGCAAATCGAACGTGAGTCTTTTGTTTATAGGCCGAGTTATCATTAGATAGTAACATATTGAAAGTGGTAGCGTAATAATCGAAAAGAAGGAGTGAGAGCCACGAGTGAGATAGCGGTTGTATTGTGTCCTCTCTAACGGGGTCGGTTTGTATAATCTGTCTATAATATAGTTTGATTTTATGTGCCCACTGTAAGGTTTGATTGTAAATAATGGTGTTGCAGCCTGAATATTTATTGTAGAACACAAAATTTAATGTTGATATGATTGAATTTAGCGAAACGAATAATTAATTAGTGTACAGACGATTTCATAATGGTACATTTGTATTGAAATGGAACATGATTAAATTTTAAACACATGAAGATGGAAACTTAAGGTTTTTTTAATGACCTACCTTTGTAAGTTTTGTATCTATTTTAATAAAGTATTGGAGTAGTTTTTGATACCATTTTGCTTTTGATTAGTCACATGAACAATTTACTTAGAGAGTGTAGCACCAAACAATGTGGTTTCACTAGTCGGTCAACAACATAATTAAACTTTATTTCACAGTGGATAAAGTTGCTTTTTCATCACATTCGATTCATTGTAACATTAGTATGTCTTGACTGATTTTAATTTGTATGAAAAGAACTCCCTAAGCCAAAATTATCTTCCAAGCTCAGATGAATTGTACGTATTGTTATGTAGTAGCTACTAGCTAGGTGTAAGCGGTTTCGGTATATATAACTACCATTGTGATTCACATAACTTATGATTTAAGGCAGGCCATGACATACGGATTGGTTGGGAAGTCAAAGAAATTGTCATCAATGTGAATATATAAAAATCGACTTTATTGTTAGTGCGTTTACGGTTCACTTTTGCCTTTTTCTATGCAATAACATTGTCTTATTTAAGAAAGAATAGAGTTGATTTTGCATTGGTGTCAAATTCTGTCGCTTCCCCCACTTCTTCATCCGTGTCTGCCGATTCGATATCATTAGAATTAACTTTATTTTCGTATTTGAAATTAATTAGTTTATTAAATTTTTTTAATGACAACACAACTGAAAGTTTTTTCGTGCACTAAACTTACAGTCGGTGTCAATTGAATGCTATATTATGTTTTTAGTTATAATTATATTAAGTTATTATTAATTTACTTTATCACCGTAAATGTGAAGAACTCCTATCTTCCTCAAGTCTTTCAAAGGGAAATTATGCTGTTTGATCGAGCACTTAAAAAGGTGCAAAGTTGTATTTTTTTCTAAATTGAATATAAACTCTATATCAGTCCTATTAAAGTTTAATATCTATTCGAGGCAATTTGACAGGTTTTCAAAGTTCCATATTACGAATGTGGCTCTTATGACAACTCAGTAAGGTCAATAATAAATTGTACTTACCTATGTGACCTTGATTTGACCTTGTAATAAAATAATTGACATATGTTTAGATGTGTCAACTGTATCCAACCGTTGTTTATATAAAACATTGTATGGCAAAAACCTGTCTGCTCTTAAAGTTAAATGGTGATCCTGAGTGCAATCATCTGCAATACAGTTCAAACACAGTTGTATAACTGATACAGTTTGCACATCTACATTCAATGATAATTCCAAAAGACGGGTAAAAAATTTAATAAGGCTAAAATTTATACAAGATAGATTTACTCTTGAAACCCAATCCCGAGAGATGATCGCCTTACTTCATTGCTTTGTCTATTCTATATATTTAATGAATAATATACAGGGCGTCCCACGGCTACCTCACACGGAGGGAAAGTATATTAAATATTGAAGATAGGATATTTTACTAAAAGAAGACATCATTTTATTTTTACTAATAACTAGAACTGCATTCACAGTTTTTTTTTAAATCGCCAATCAGTTGTAATAAACTATGAATCAAATTGTGAAATATTGAAAAAAAAAACAACATATTTTATGATAACCATCAAAAGGGTTAATAATGAGGATTATTTTTTGCTAAATAACATTTATAATTAAATTAATAAGCATTTTAAATGAAAGAAAAGTAATTAAATTTAACACATTAAACACACATCGAAAAGGTACGTCTCTATCAGGTACAAAGCTAATAATTATGTCTTTGTGGTTCATAAAGTAAGCTTCCATTAAATCCATTTTATTTTGATACGCAATGGTAAGTAAATTAACAAAAAAATGTAAAAATATGAAAATGAAACACACAAAAAACAAAAGAACAGCCGCTTGAAATATTATGTGTTCCATTTTGGAATTATTATTTTTATAAATTTCAGCCAATCGCATTGAAACTGAGAGTTCAAAAAGAAAGCATACGTACTACAGTTTGTATATCCCTTTATTATTTTTGTCACGTAATAAGACATTCCTTTCATTAAAAAGGCTATGTTATTTAGCAAAAAATAATCCTCATGATTAACCCTTTCGATGGTTGTCATAAAATATGTGGTTTTTTTTCGAAATCTCACGAGTTTGATTCCCAGTTGTAGCAGGCGATTTTTAAAAAATCTGTGAATGCAGTTCTAGTTATTATTAAAAATAAAATGATGTCTTCTTTCAGAAAAATATCCCTAATATATCTTCAATATTTCATATGTGAGGTAGCCGTGGGACGCACTGTATAGTTTCGTCATTGATGATACAAAATGACGTGCTGACAACTTGGTATCTATGATGTCATAAACGCTAAAAGAAGCTAAAGCAATAAAAATGGCGCTTGACCTCTAAAAACTCATGACCTTGTTGTTGTTGATCTCTTTGACGATGCAACTGTGTTATTTCGCAAAGTTGCTCTGCAACAATATCATAGTTTTTTATTTCCAGTTTTGGTTAGCGAGCGTCTTTGTAAGCGCAAATATCACATTAGTACAGTTTATACAATTATTGTATGAGTTAAACAAAAACTGACCCGATTCCAATTGGATTTCGATTCCAAGCGTTTCAAGAGTATAGTTAAGTAGGAATATTTAGTTGTGTATTATTAATCAGATTGTATTAGAAAATTTCTTCATATCGTATTCGAGTGAGGCTAAGCGTGCGTGAGTTTTTGTGATGGGTCGCCTTAACTTAGTTGTGATTTTCGTTGAAACAAATATACGCAATTAGCAATTAAAAATATTGTTGTTCTCTAATCCTAATTTGGTGGCAAACTAACATTTTGAAGATTTTTAGTTTTACATCCCTTTCTTTCGCGTAACTAGCTGACTTGCTACGCAATTTGCACCTTTCTCTCTATAGACAAAGAATTTGTTAATACTGTAAAAACAGACAGATGAAATGTACAAAATCACAATATATATGAAGACTTTTTATATGTAAAACGATTTCTTTCTTTTTCATATCGTATCCGTAATCCATAATATTTATGCCCGATTTTTTTATTTGAAATTATTCCACAATCACAATGATAGACTGTATAGTAACCACAATATGGTCTAGTTTTGTTTGCCGCCTCTACACTGTAAGTATAAATTTGGAAATTAATATTTAAATGTAAGCGATACATGATGTTGTTTCATCTTGTTACAGCCGTACTCAGAAATGTCACATACATTTAACGCTTCACGATGTCACGTGTCGTGAAAGTAAATTGACTTTTCTGAGTGCAGGCCTTAGTATATGGGTTTGATGGTTGACAATTTAGTCCTTTCTTTCTCGTAGTCTTAACTATTTACAGGGCCGGATTTAGGGTAGAGCAAGCGGGGCTGTGGCCCAGGGGCCTCCGCAAGAGAAGGGCAACAGTCAAAATAATATTAAAATTCGACAGGTGGAGTCAGCAACGTTCCAAACAGCATATTTCCGCATTTTAATTTAGAAATAAAGAGTTATACGGTGGGGCGCACATTGTAAGAGCCCAGGACCTCTGGCCTTTCGTTACCCTAGGACCCCTACACTTCTTAATCCGGACCTGGCTTTTAAATTAACTGGTTACACCTGGGTTTATTAGTTTTTAGTCAAATTAACAACAAAATAAATCCTTAATGCCTAACAAAAAATTATAAACGCTGTTTCAATTTGGTATTTTAATTATAAGATGTAATTTATCGATAAATTAAATAAATAGTTGATAGTTTGAATACGAAAAAGAAAGGCATTTTTATTACGATAATTTTGGTGAGATTTTGTGAGGCGTGTGAACTCTAGTTTTGGGGGCAGAATTGACAATTCTTACATATCTCGTTGCATTTTCTTGATTGATTGATGTTAGACGAATAACACCCTACACCTTTTAATTTATAGATTGATTTTGCCTCGTCAAACGATTGCTGAATTCCATTAAAGTATATATTTACTTGCCATTCTATAATTTTGTTAATTATTATTATCCATTTTAAAGTAGAAAATCTGATGCATTGAGTGCAAAAGCTTTCATTATACATAATTACTTATTTTTTGCTTACCAACATATACACCAATGCTTATTTATGTAATGACCGCCATAGACAAGTGATTTGATCAAACAAGTTAGTTCAAACAGTTTGATCAAGTTCGTATAAATATGTGTGGGAAATTTTGATCATAACGAGTTGCCGATTGGGACGAAGAAATATGAAAATTTCCAATATCTGTTTGATCAAACTGTTTGAATCAGTCTGTTTGATCAAATCATATCAACGTCTGTGGCGCTAGAAAGCACTTAAACCCAAACCTGACGAGGACTTCAATAGTTTTTGAGGAATTATTAAAAAAAATTGAAATTACTGTGTCGAGTTTAAACCTTCCTCTGATAGGGTTCAAACCAGGGCTTGTTTATCGGTTAATTTTCAAACCTTAATCAGTGTCAAGTACATAAGGAGCGTTTTATTTAGGTTTGGCTCTACCTTAACCTTAAAAAAACCGGTTTTCATAAAGAGCGAAATCAAATAGGTTTTGAATCAATTTAGCGGTTTTTAAAGGGTTTCATTTCGCTCTATCTGACGGCATCGATAATAAATGAACAACTTGACTCACTAGATGCTAGCAATCGTGTCAATAAATGCATCAATCTCTGAGCATTAACAAGTTGTGACTTGATTAGTTCAAACAAAACAAACTTTAAGCGATGCCGACGCGTGCACGTGGCGCTCTGGATTAAACCGGTTTATTAAGGTTTTAGGTACCGCTTTCATTTCGGACGCGCTCTGAACAAAACCTTTACTAAAAACCGGTATTAACATTTATTTATCGGTATTTTCGAAACCGGTTTCAAGCCCTGGCTGAAAGATCAGAATAGATTGCAGTATTTGAGTTTTTTTGGCTGTCTGGTGTTTCGCATGCCGCCACTGTTGGCAAGTCTCGCTTTTACGGGTCATCCTGCGTTTTCAATAAATATTTCCCCCCTAAAGCTCCCGATTTTATAATAATGTAATGCCGGCACTTCACTTGGCTATTCGTATCTGCTGTTTGTCAGACAGCAGGTCGTTCATATCGTTCTCCTTTGTAAGTAAAAAAGGAGAAACTGTTATCAAGTTTACAAATGCCAAACTTCAATAGCCAAGTGTAGTGCCGGCATAAAACAAAAATGTTGAATGTGTAGCCTAAAATATATTGTAACTCGATAAAGTTGCTGTTACGTTGACAGCAAAACTAGCGTTTATCACGCCATAGACGTCTCTGGCGTACTTTTTCCGAGTTGCAACCCCTCCCCCACCCCATAATTGGTTAATCAAACCAAGATATAGGCCAGTAACGAATGTGTTTCTGTGGCTTCTGCCGCTTAAAGCTCGTTTTTAATTAAGTAAATAATTAAGGTTGCCTACATTATTAATGGCGGAAAATGCAACTCAATATGCAATTTGAAAAAGAAAATCGAATTCTAAGAAACAAACAGTAGATTCATGTAGAAAACCAGTGGAACGGGAGAAATTTTAGAAAAACGAGGTCTCCTGTAATATCGGGAGACCTGGTTCGGCGCTCCCTGAGACCGCTGCGTCCGCGTGCAACACACACCCTGACTCGTAGCTAAAGCCACCTCTACTGCTATTGCAAGCAGGGCTTGAAACCGGTTTCAAAAATACCGGTAAATAAAGATTAATACCGGTTTTTTAGTAAAGGTCTTGTTCGGAGCGCGTCCGAAATGAAAGCGGTACCTAAAACCTTAATAAACCAGTTTAATCCAGAGCGACACGTGCACGCGTCGGCAACGCTTGCAGTTCGTTTTGTTTGAACTAATCAAGTCACAACTTGTTAATGCTCAGAGATTGATGCATTTATTGACACGTTTGCTAGCGTCAAGTTATTCATTATGTAGTTGTGTATTTATTTCAGCCGTCAGTGAGAGCGAAATGAAAAGTTTTTAAAAACCTCTAAATTGCTTCAAAACCTATGCGATTTCGCTTTTTAGGAAAACCGTTTTTTTTAAGGTTAAGGGAGAGCCTAATGTACTTGACACTTGATTTAGGTTTGAAAATTAACCGGTAAACAAGCCCTGATTGCAAGTGTCAACAGGGATCTGTAGACCATCATGCGAACCTTAGTTATCACGCTTTCCACATAAAAAAGCAATGGGAGTCTTACATTAAAAAGTATTGAAATTACATTATTGATTTAAGTACATTAAAATGCATCAAATTTTAAAATGGCAATTCCATATGTAAACACACACCACTTATGTATATAAAGAATAATTTGTGAAATAGTGTAAAGATAAAAGTTTATATGTATCAGTTGTTATTTCGTGCAATATGGAGATCAATATGTAAAATGACGTAAGCAATTGTATGTATAAAATGCACAGAACTATATATTATATGTAATGAATGATAAAATTAATAAAGAAAAGATTGATATTAGATTTAATACGAAAAAGTAATAAAAACTACATTTTAAAATCTTTCTGTACTAATAATTTTTAGTGTTAAGCCGATATAGATATATTGTAAAGAATATTATATGACCCGTATTAAATATTTGGAATTATACATAGATGTGTGTTTTTTTTTATTTAATTCAATGTATTTTATGTTGCACAGCGTCTAACCTTAAGCCTGGTCCGCGTGGATTTTTTTAGTAACATTTTCTTTAGTTTAAAAAATGTAGCAGCTAAATTCTTAAGAAATAAAAATGTAACAATGTTGCACTGGCATCACTTAATTCTCAACCAACGATATTAAATACTCTAGCTAGATACACCACTTGCGCTCAAAATGTGTCCCAATCGAGAAGTGCTTGACGGCCACTCAAGCACTTCTTGGTTCACAGTCACGCGCGGACCGTTGAAAAGTCAAGTTGCCGCGGAGCTCCGTGAATAAATGCGAAAAAGATACTTATTGTATATAAAATATCGACAGTTTAGATAACTGATTGTTAATTTAACGCATTTTAAGCAAATTTTATTCTAATACTCAATATAAATTGATATAATAGAAAATATTTGTGATTTTCAAATGCATGGTCGGTTATATAGCCGTCTCTTTTCCTCGCTGTCCGTACCTGCTATATTGCTATCAGCGCATTCAGAATAGCACTTAGATACTAAGAAATATGGTCTATATTCTTCCGCATATTGCAGTAAGTAGTAGAATTTTACGAACTTGCATTTGGAACTGTCATAACTCTGATGCATGCGTTTTTAATTAAGATCTTATACAGTATGCATTAAAGGTGACTTTGTATGTTTGAATAACGCTTTATATTATTTTTGACAACGCGATCATCTTTCGGAGCTCCGTGGATCGTCCCATGTACCTTTTGGACAGGTTTCGGGCACGATTTTGTTCGTGTTGGTGTATCTAGGATATTTAATTTCGTATTTCTCCAGTCTGTATCACCAGAGGCGCTGCAGTTACTTCGACTCTTATGTTTGTGGCATATAAAGGAAAACGCATGAATTAGTAAGATTTATTTTTCTCTACATTTAAATAAAAACTTATGTTTGCTTTATACTACTTTCTACATAGGGATGAACTTTTATTTATCCTACTTGCTACCACAGTAAATAAAGGCGGTGTTTGGCGACTCTCACACTAACTCGATTCTACTCTGTGGAGGTCCAGGGTTCGAATCAGTGGACCCCGCGGCTTCGCATTAAGCAGTGTAGAAGGTATTCGCAGGACTTTTTTAGCGGATATTATGCTGTAAAGCGCCCGTAAGAGTTGCGGGGTCCTCGGTGGTCAGCCACTGGGGGGTCCGTAAGACTTGCGGGAGACAGGTGTGAGGTCCGTTCGGCGGAGTGCCTCTTAAAGGCGCCGTCGTCTGTAGAAAGATTTATTATCTCCGTTATAAAAAAAAAGGGTTCGAATCAGTATGTAGGGGCAAATGGATATATGATAGATTTCTACTAATATATTCTTAGAATATCTTAGAGCCTAAACTTTTACTGTAAAAATGATTCCTTTTATTTTGTTTAATCATTTATATAACACCCATTGCTTTTAGTTTATGTTATACAAACTTGCATAGATTTTACTATTTGCATTGAAATCCTAGCAAAAGGTCATAAAAAAAACATATAATATATTCATATATAGCGTGCAATTTGAGAAGCCAATGACCAGCAGTGGACTAAGATAGGCTGTAGATGATGAATCATTTAGGTAATACCTAGTTGCATAGCTTTTACTATTTGCATTGAAAACGCAGCAGGAGGCGCCTCCTTTATATTTCCATCACTCCCAGTCCACAATGGAAGACATACAAAATAGTTTGCGCTTAATAATATTTGTTCCTACTGTTTATTAAGTTAGTGCACATAAACTTGATAACTTATATAAACAATCTAAACTAACTGTTTGTAAGTTTGCTCTGGACTATGAAATGAAGTTTGCGTTCGTTTGGTACCGGCGCATCTGAAGTTAAATTGAATAAGTTGATTTGTTTATTATTCGAGTTTACGTTAGTTCCCACCTAGTACCCAACCCAACAAACTCAGAATGAGCAAATGGGAATGATTGCATTACTTTAGCATAGAAATTTCGTAATTTGTTAACATGGAAAGTGCGGTTTTTGTTCGTTTTACAGTAGGTACCCACAGAACACACAAAGTGGTTAGATGGGTGATCATATACCGTTTTTAACCGATGCCGCTGGCTCGCCCCCACTACACTTCCACCTAATAGATAACAGCCAATCAAACGACGCGACACCAAAGAATCGAACCAATCGGCGCTCACAGCCGAGAGCATTGACGCAATCAGAACCAAGTTTTGGTGAAACTACAAGCATTTGCTCATACATAGCTGTGTCGCGCCTGTCCCGCCCACAAGGCCCTGCTAACCTCTTTTTCTTGTTCTGTCTGACAGTAACAACTTGGCATTGATTAATAGTTTTCTATTTTTTTTTTGAAAAGTAATGACAATTAATCAATGCTAAGTTGTTTTATACCTCGTTTACATGCAGCGCGAGTAAGGAGGGAAGTGGGCATGACGAGTATCTAAACACGATACTCGTCATGCCGCTGCCATTGCTACTCGCGCTGCCCGGCGCTCCCCAAAAGAGCGGTTTTTTGTGCGGAAGTCAAAGGACCGGCGCGGCGGCAGCGCGAGTGGCAATGCGTGTTCACATTCTGCGCGTCGCTTAGTTCGCGTTGGTATACTTACTTTTTGGTTCGCGCCATGCGCTTGGTGGAGAAAGACGTGAAATCAAAAATTATTAATTAATTAAATCATTTTCATCATCATCATCATCAGCCTCTTTATGTCCCCACTGCTGGGGCACAGGCCTTCCCTATGGATGGAATAGGGATATTGGGCCATGACCCACCACACGGGCCCAGTGCGGATTGGCGGGTTCTAACAATTGCAGATGCAACCGGTACCAACGGCTTAACGTGCCTACCGAAGCACGGAGGAACTCGAGATAGAAATTTTTGGTCACCCATCCAATGACCGACCACTGCGAAAGTTGCTTAACTACAACGATCGCAGCCGAACGCGCTAACCACCTGCGACATGGAGCTCCTCATTAATTAATTAAATATTTATAAACTAGCTTTTGCCCGCGACTTCGTCCGCGTTATCGTCGTTTTTCGTAAAAAAGTAGCATATGTCCTTCCTCAGGGTTCTGTGGTTTTGATGTGACAGACAGATTAACTTTCGTATTTTAGTAGGGAAATATAATACTGTTAAAAATATCGCAATAAGGAACCGCAGAATATTATTATTATCACTGTGCCCCGAGACCATCAGCGTGTAACTCCTTGTATGTTATTATGTTAATGTATTGGTAATATTGTTTAGATCGCTTTCACATGAGTCTTAAGTACATATAGAATGAAAATACTTCAGCGCAAAGCTTCCGGGTAGACTACGTTGAAATTTGACCCGTCCGGAACGTGAACATAAAAAATTCTAGGACTGCTAACCCGGGAAAGACCGACATAACTGACCATGTGAAAAACAACTGACACCGAGATCTACTCCAACAACATGAAAGGTCTGCCCTTGAGCCTTATTTATTGTCATTGCATAACACACCGATACTGGGAATTGCGTTCTTTTAAATTGGAATGGAAAATTATTTGGTATTATGGGAATTCTGGGAATAAAGATGGTTTCTCCTGCACCGCAACCTATTAAAATTTGAGCCTCGATTACATTTTGTTGCAACTGGGTTACTTTAAGCCGAGTTCCATTGCAAATTTGTGGTGGTCTTAAATTTCGGAGCAGAATAATCGGAATGCCAATTTTTAAACAAATTTCATGAGAAGGAAGTACGGGCATATTTAAAGAATTTAAAAATTCTATCGGGTAATTAGTGGCTTCTTGTTCATCGGCCATTCTATTTATTGAAATATAAACTTTGCTTTTCCCCTGGATATTCGACAGTATTTTATTATTAATCTCAGATGCCTGGTCATTGCGAGGAGTTAAAATGGACCTTTCGCATAGTCAAGAATTGTTCTTATTTAATATATTTGTTACGTCACCGTAAACTGACGATGTAAGATGTTGTTGGGATTGCACTATACAACATAACTCAGGCGTCAAAATAAGTTTTCCTTGGTGTAGCAGTGGATAGGTATCTTTGGTGAAGGTATTTTCTTTAATAATATATCAGAAAATTCACGATCATCCGGGTTATCTACAGTTCTCACTCGCATGTTTATAGTCAAATGCACCGATTGTATATCACGCCACAAATAAGAGCTTTTCAGGCAAGCCCTAACCTCATCAGCTCGGGTTCCCCGTGGTATTACCGGTAAGGTTTGTCGGAAATCACCACAAAATAAAACTGTGATACCGCCCAGTGGTCGATCATTTTGTCTTATTTCCCTTAAAGTTCTGTCTACCGCTTCTACTCCTTTTCGATGGGCCATCGTACATTCATCCTATATGATTAAATTACACTTTGAACGAATATTTAAACACTACCAAAACAACTAATACGTGGTCCTAACTTTAGCTACCTTACACATAAAATCTAAGTGACTATTTGAACTAATATCTAAAAAATATCCCGCAACAGCATATGTCTATCTTTTATGGTTGACTCACAATAACACGTGTAACTCCCGATAGCTTAGCAGTTCGGAGCATTCTGATCATATTTGTTTACTCTTACGTTTATAATACTCGGTATAGAAACACCAAACTTATACATGAAATAAGCCATCGCGCCGTCTCACGTGAATACTGAATCATGCTATAAGGATTATTTTTGTGTAACGGTTGCCGCGCTCGACACGGGTCGCGGCAGCGGTAGGGTATCAAAGGTCCGAGAGCGAGCTGTCTAAATCTGTTTTCTGCGTCGCTCCCCCCCTGGGGGACGATCGCTTCCGATGAAGCCTTAGAGGCCTTCCCGGCCAGAGGCAGCCCCTACGGGTGTTTTTTAGTCAGTACGAGTCTGACATAACCTTGCAGCCGGCTGTAGGGTATCCATGAGGATTTCTCATCTGCTCCCCCGCCTGGGAGACCGAAACCGTGCTTATTAGCGCGACTTTTAGTCTTTAAATAGTTTATTTGAATTTCTTTTGTTGTTATTTTGTAAAACAG